CAGAGATCCTGACTTATCTGGAAACCTGTCTTCCTGGAGAAAATAATCTCTGTCTGGAATCTGCCTGCCTGCCCTCCGTCTCAGTCTCTGCCTCAGCCCTCTGCCTGCCGACTAGCCTGTGGACCCACAAGGTTCCCCCCCTGCTGATCAGATTCCTCTCTGAGCAGGTATTTATCCCAGTCATCTGTAAACTGCAAGTTTCCTGGATCAACTCTAACTGCTCTGTCCTCCTCAGTGGCTTCCCTCCCGTGACCAGTCTGACGAACAAAGAACCTGTGCATCCATTTACTTGTGAACATTGTTAAATAAATCATTTAACTTTTTCTCTGTCTCAAAGAGTGATTTCTGCCTGTGGATGAGACGCCTAGACCCCAACATGACAATGGTGACCCTTTTTTATAAGAATGCTACTTCTTCATGCTTGATTAGGGTTCATCACAAACTGTAGAGCCATGACACCACTGTGTGGGAAGGCGTTCCCTCTCTACGAGAAAGCAGTGTCATTGGTACACCTTTATTTACAAGGCCCTTCTTGGATTACTGCCCTCTTACATTTGTACCTTACTTACAGAAAGAAGCATGGCTTCTTATGCCCTGAGATCCAACGATCAGCTGTTGCTCACTGTCCCTTTTACCCGCACAGAACTAGGGAAGAAAGCCTTTAGCTACGCAGCTCCTTCTGCGTGAAATTTTTTACAAAGAAACTGGATGTTGACTGAATTTTTTTTTTATCTTTAAATGCTTTTAAGTTAAAAGTGAAAGAATTTGAACCTGCCTAAATGATCTGTAATTTTTTTATTTCATGTTTTTTTTATGTACCTGTCATTTAATTTAATGTATCTCTGTTTATTGTGTAACTTTGCTGCCTCTTGGCAAGGAATCCATTGAAAAATAGATTTTAAATCTGAATGGGATTTTTCACTGCTTAAATAAAGGTTAAATAAAAACAAAATCCATCTATCCATCCATCCATCCATCCATCCATCCATCCATCCATCCATCCATCCATCCATCCATCCATCCATCCATCCATCCATCCATCCATCCATCCATCCATCCATCCATCCATCCACAGCTGGTATGACTGATCATGGGGGTTATGGGGTTAAGGGAAAAAAGCCAAACTTATTCAATATTTTTATCCTCCAACTTTCTTGGAGGAACAAAGGCAAAATTGTCTGTACAGTTAAGTTTGTATTTTTGACATGTTTTGCTTTGACTTTTTCACCCATTTTAACAGCAGCAGAAAATCACTTTTAGAGGATAATAAAATAAATACGTTAGCCTATTATGCCCAGTCATGAAAAGGCTCCTTAATGCAAGCAAACCACTGTGTTTGTGTTGAGTCTAAGCAATGCCACCAATGATCATTCCCTGACAGAAAAAAAAAGTATTTGCTAGAATGAGGTGAGATGTTTGCTGGAAACTTTTATTACCTTATAGAAACAGCAGAACTTTAAAGAAAAAGTCCTATTAAATGTTTGTTCTCCTTAAAGGTTAGTATAAAGGAACAGTATTTGGTTTAAAACTCTTACAAAACAGCCAAACTAATGGAATAGGTTTAAGCTCTGGAGTCTGCAGCGCAGACTCTAAGGTAAATGATGAAGCATCTCTTAGCAAAGCCCAGAAAGCCTCCCTGATACCATCTCAGGAAATTTTTAAGTGGGGCTGCCGTCTCGCCAAAGGGCCTAAGGCCTCCCTCAGTGAGTACATTTCCAACATTTGACTTATTCCCAAAAACAACATAACTCCTGCCAGGTCTAGACTTACGAGCTACACCCGATCATCATCCAACACAAACTAACACAACAAATAATGAAACCAATCGAGCAGAGTGCAGGGCCTCCAGGCAACAGCCAAATCACTTTTAGAGGTGGCTGCTGGGTGGTCAGGAAAAGGGGAAAAGAATCCGGCTTGTAAAGACAAGGTTATCCATGCCATAACTTTAGAAAATACCCATGTCCCTATTTTAAAACCATTTATTAGCTATTAATCCCCACTTGCGAAGCAACAATAATCTATCTAAATAGATTAATCTTAAAGTGAATGATAATATCCTGTTGGTGCCTAGATTAGTCTAAACTCGTATCGCTGGGAATGATTTTGTTACATTATTCACTTAACCTGTAAAATTACACAATTACACGACTCATGGTGTTATTCCAAAAATAAACCTGTTCAAGAGCATTATTCCTACTTGTTTGGCTGCAGCTCAGGCAGAAGAATTGTAACCCAATAAAGGACACATGATATCCGCTATCTGTCCAGAGCACTAATGGTTTATTAGTCCCTTGGTGCTGAAATGTGATCCAATAGTATTGGAAGAAGCTCCCCCTAATCCCTACATCTGTGAGGCAGAGCTGGGCAGCAGGCAGAGATTTACACCCGGTAGTTTATGGAGCTTTTAAAAGGAACAAAGGAGCTGCCATAAAAAAAAAAAAAAATAATAATAAAAACAATGGCATTGGAAGGATGAGTGTGTTTTGTTAATTTTTCAATCGCATCTAATATGAGGGTGACAAACTTTTATTTCAAAAAGCTCGACTCTACAATTAGAAAAAGACAAATATACATCTCGTTACCTCAAACAATTAAAACTTTTGGACGGCTTAAAATATATGAAGAGGTTTATCAAGGATGCATTTTAGGGCCCAAAGTTATTTCCTACTTTTACAAAATTTCAGGACCTACTTTTAAGCTGCAGAAATCCCAGCTAAATCTGAGACAGCCTTCAAATTTGCTTAAACTAAACTTTTAGCATGAAGGGGAGTGCATACCGATGTTTCTGCAGAGTGCAAGGAGTTTATAATGTCCTCCCTATAATGTATACATAACAAATGTGCATCTATAAAGGTCAACTCTCATAGTCTTTGTTAATGCTGGTGTTTTGTTTTTGTAATAATAGAGAGAGCAACAAATAAATAAGCTTGTTTTATAAAAGGAGAGGTTTTTTGGCAGCTTGCTGCTCTGAAACACACAATGCCAGGATGGGAAGGGATCACCAAAAACCAGAGAAACAACAATTTAAATTTTAATCAGCAAATTGAGCAGAAACAACTGAAAGGTTTTCCTGAAACCCTAAATGGTCTCACTATCTCTCTCTGGGTCAGTCAGGTAGACTATATACAGAAGGTAGTCACTGATACTCTCTTTAAGAGGAAGAAAGCCACCAAACACCAACTAAATGATCAATATCTGCTGATGCACATACACAGAACTTACTTTTTTATCTATACATTTAATTTAGAAAAATAAGCTGTGAAATATATAGTGATACAGCAATATCATAATGATATCGTATTGTGACCCAAGAATCGTGTCATATCATATTGCAAGACCCATGCCAATACTTTTCCCTAGTAGAAAGCAACGAATGCTATGCTGAGATGTGTTTTTCCTCCTCTAAATATCCCCTTCTGACATTCTAACATTTGCTTAATTGTGCTTTTTTATAGTTTTAATCTTGGGTAAAGATTTGGATTATAATGTGTAATGTGTATAATGTTTGTTGTTGCCTCGACCAGGACTCTATAGAAGAATTATTATAACTTTTAATATATTATAACTTTTTCTTGTCTGGAAAATGGTAAAATAAAAAACAAAAAACAAAAACAACAACAACAACAAAAAAACAATAGAGCCAACAGACACATGCAGGAATAACATCTATATTATCCCCTTGATGCCTATTGTTGCAAATATGCAACAAAGCATATTGTATGTTGAACAGTTTATTTCAGCTGTGGCTGGTTTTAAAGCTCCACATTGTTGCTGTTAATGATGTAGTTGTTGTTATTGGTGATGTTGTTGAGGAAGAACCCATATTACACAAACAGCAAATATAGAAGGTGTGGGGTGTGCTTTAGTGGTGCCGTGGTTAACGCAGCCGACCTGGGTTGGAATCCGACCTGTGGTCCTTAGCTGCATGTCTTCCCCCTCCCTCATACCCCCTTTCCTGTCAGCCTACTGTCAGAAAAACAAGCCACTAGTGCCGTAAAAACAACAACAAAAAAAAATTTTTTGTGGGGACTTAGGAGCTTTGTGCAAGCACTTGTTTCTGGTACAACTGTTGTATTAAATTTGCACTGCAACTAAATTGATATATTTATAATGGTCTCAATTTGATAACTAAAGCCAAAAAAACACGTACAAGCATTTTACATACATGCATATGAATTCAGGTGTCAATTTCTTTTAAATAAGTTAATTTCATTTCAATAGGATGTATAAATAATTAAATAAACTCAACTGAATTGAGTTTAGAAAGAAAAAAGCTTAAGGTGAGAATGAAAGCTGCGTTTAAAGCTTCAGTATTGTTTTTAAAGCTATTATTAGTCATTTTGTCTACAAAATAGTTGAGAGATGAAAGAAAGACTGTAGGGTTGAAGGTGTAGAGCATTGGATAAAGCTTCTTTATCTTCTATAGCTTTGGTCCAATCAATATCTGAATATGTCGCTTCCTTAAAGCTGCCTCTTTTTTCAGTCTGGGGCGTTAAAAGGACCAAACATTTCCCTTTCATTAAACCTTAGTTTAAGCATACAGCAGTTCAAATCCCACTGCTTTATCAATGGATAACATTCAGGCGGTTATGTGCAAAATACATTTAGTAGAAACTGTATGAATCAACATCCTCAAACACAAAATCCTCTTGCAGATAAAAACATGCTTGCTATTGCTGCACTGAGGAGGTCGAACTCCATCAATCAAAGCTGCTGCACGCAGCTTTCCTTTGAGTTCACTGTGGGAGACAAAAAGCCATAACTGAACCTTCTTCCCTTATCAAGTATGAATTACAAAGACCATCAAACTCCATTTCCTCTGACATTACCTTCTCTCTGCCACATCCCACCTACCACAGATCATACCCCTTCACCAACAGAGGGCAGAGTTTGCCTCTGTATCCAGGCAGGCTTTAGGGGAGAGGGAGAGGAGCAAAAGGGAGGGAGGGTTTGGGGATGGAGAGAGCATGGGTACTGGAAGGAGAGCGCGGGAGTCTTACTTGCAGTCTCTGTCCTCCAGATCAAAATGCGGGTTGAAGTTGATAAGGATTTTCTGACCATCTTCAGGGGCGGTTATAACCCATACGCACTGCTGGGAGGGCGGGTACGAGGTGGGGTAACCCGGGGAGGTCAGGTAATCCGCATTAGTGATCTTTATGCTTCCTCCGCACATATCTGCACCACAAAGTGAGACAGAAAGTGATTCAAAAAAGGAGAAAAAATGCAATCCATCATATTATTTGACCTGAGACACCTTAAAATGAACCCTTGTTGATTGTTCAGTGATTAATCTTTACAGAAAGTAGTTGGTTTTTTTTGTTACTGGTGATAGGGCTCTCAACCCAAGGTGCCATTCTGTTAGAGGGCGGCTGGAGGTCTCTGTTGCATCTTTGTATGGCCAGTCAATATAGTGAGTGCCTTCCTCATTAAGCAAATTATGTCACAACATGAATCATAACAGTAAAGTAACCAATTCAGGTTACTAATTATAAGTTACAATTAATTAATGGGCTAATTTACACTTTTTAAGTGAGATGAATTAACTATATTCAATTAAAAATCTAAAACACTGGGAGTGATGAAAGCTGGACCAAATTGGATGCAGAAAAGCAGATAGATTTTCCTGAGAAAAACGACTTATATCTTAAATCATACCTTCAGTTATTTTCCACTGATTACTGACTTGTTATATATTTACTCCAGTTCTGAAGGGCTAAATAAAGTCTTCTTAGTGGGGAACATTTGGAAATCATGCAATATGATGGTTTATTGCAATGCATCTCTAATGCCTGCCTCCTCCGTCTCTCATTTGCCATTAACTGTGCTTCCAAGTCTTTTTCACCTTTAGCACCTTGGATGCAGCCATCTGTGAGGATCCTCTCCTGCAGGGACTCCATCTAACAGACTGAATATATCATTGGCATGCAAGTGAAAGGGGCGCAGGAGGGGTTCCTCAATGCGCCTTTCTTCCAAGAAGTGCCACTGAACGGAGGTATTAAATATGCTCGAACTTTAGTAAAAAAAAAATGTAAAAAATGTGTGAAAGTGTGGCTGAGACGCATCCGCATCCAATCTTCAAGGTGACGTGTCTCACCGTGCAGGAAAACATGCTTCTTTATTACATTTAATTTTCTCTCTGGATGGTTTATGAAATTGCATGTTGCTGGAGATCATGCTTCAGTGGAAACGCGCGCAATACCCTCCAAAAAATGCGTCTTTGATGGACCAAAAAGACTAATATGTTTAAATCTTCTCATAGAGATAAAATATGTATGCATACTTGGACCTGTTGTGCATTTTGAAATCCTTAGCAGTTGGGGATTATATTCCCAAATTCTAATATATACTTGGAATAATCACTTTTGCTGCATCTTTTTTTAATTTATGAACATAAAAATGATCAAACAGCTCCAGCCCTGAATAAATACCCCCCCTGCAGCCAGGTGAGAGCCGACAATAGTGATAAAAGCATGCAGAAACCGGGTCAATAATGCTGTAATGTCAACCTACCAGTCTGAGTAAACGGAGACACCAAGATTATTTGGCTGAAAAGGAACAATAGAAATCCACAACGCATCCTTAATATGTGGCACCACATAGATAATATAAACACACAAAAAAAAAATAAAAAAATAAAAAGAGGTGAAACGTCCAGAGAGGAAAAAGGGGAAATAACAGCAATTCTCTTAGAGTAAGAGATCTGGTGGTTGTAGAGTCCCCAGCATCCTGCGATTCACAGGGAACAACTTGGCATCTCCGAGAAGAAAATAATCCAAAGGCTTAAAAACAAGAACCAAAATAAGACAAATCAGGTAAAAAGGGGCACCTCAATACTCCCGGTTCTCTGTTATGTTATTATTAAACCCAGCAGGAAATCAACACTCCAAAAAGGGAGATAAATAATAAAAGAGGAAGAAAAAAATCACTGTTCAGTCGGGAAAAACCCGGAGCTGTTCCTGCTCTGAGTCTCTGCTGCTCCGAGCTGAACTGTCAGGATAAAGGAGACAGAAACGGCGGAATGGACGCCCTCCAGTAGATCCGCTGCTGAGCGCAACCAGCAACAAGCGACCGATTCAGAGGAGAGCTGGAGCGGACTGACACCGCTGCGCCCTGTGCGCTCCTGACGCGTGCGTGCGTGCGTGAGGGGCTGGAGGAGGAGGAGGTTCACGCAAACCCATGATGGCATGCGGCTCCGTGACACAATAAAATCTGGACAGTGTCAGCCACAAAGATGGAGCCAGACGACTTAGACGCGCCTGTTGTCACGATAATCAGATAAGAAAACGATTCAGTCAAAATTTTCTAAAACAGCTTTAGAAATTTATAAAAAATAAAAAGTGCAATATTTCCCCATGACCATATCTTGTTTTTTTCCCTATACGTACTGTAGCTTTGTAAATGCAGATGTAAAAGTTAATCTCATGCAGTAACATGAGGTAAGATCACTATACATATTAGTCAGAATTTAACAAACATTTGAATTAATAATAATTGAAATCTCATGCAAATCATATAGTTTACATAGTAACAACTCCCATAAATCCATACAGGAACAATGTTGAAAATATGATTTATTTTAGTATCTGAATTCAACAAGTGAACCGCAATAAAATCTATTGAATAATTACACATTATTTCCCCTATTTTATTTTTTTTTCCACTTACAACTAATAAAACAAGACATTTAGATTAAATAGGTTTCAACAGAATTTAGTTTTTTATTTAAAAAGTATGTTTAATTTCAGTTTTATATGAAAGAAGCCTTATTATAAATAAAAATAAAATTCCCTTTAATGTTTGTCAATGGGGAACTTCACTCTGCTTTTGACCCATCCCCCTGGGGAGCAGTGGGCGGCCATTGGGTGGCGCCCACTGCTGGGAGCAGTGTGAAGATTCTCAGTCATCCAGGTCATAATCATTCCAAAAAAAAGTTAAAAAAACAATCCACTGGACTTTGTTTCAAGTGTGAAGACATTTAGCTTCTCATCCAAGAAGTTTTTTCAATTCAAAATGTCAGAAATAGCGTTGAGTTTGAGGCTCTTATACAGTAGCCCAACAAAGCCTTAGAAAATTGAAATGGATGAATGGGTCCACCCCTCAGAGATGGGGGTCGTTTGGCTTCTTTTGTTAGCCTGCAATGTCCCGTACCTGTCTATGTCTCTGAAAGGGGGGTCATTGAAGGGAATTGTTGGCCTGGCTGAATTGGCGAGTTCTTCTGGTCCCCTGTAAAGGGGTTGGGGTTGCGATGTCCGCTATCATCTCATCGCAACCCAGAAGCGAAACGTCTTCAAACTTGGAAACAATATCCAGTCTATTGTTTTTTTAAAAACTTTTTTGGGGACCTTCTCAGCAGGGGCGGAGCTAGATGGGGGGCCATCCCTACCATTTTTCCCCTCTAATACAGATGGTGGCAACAATAATACTCTCAAGTGGAATATTCAAAACATTTTATTTTTTTGTGGTTAATTATGATCATAAATATACAAACATTAAAGATGATAAATACAGAATTCATGCTCTTTTCAGAACTAGATTTTGTGTTATATGGGAAAATACTGTGTCTCTGCAAGTCATCTAGGAGTCTTCAGTGAAATCAACGATAAATAACAATTTAATAAAAACTTAGTAAATAATCAATTTATGTAGGTATTAGTGCTTGTAAATATTAATATTATTAAGAATATTTATTGATACAAGTAGGTAAGTAATGACAATACTGATTGATTTTTGTCCAAAACTCAAAAAGTTTATCCACTATACCTTTTATCTAGAAATTACAGATGTTTAAATATATGCGTCTATTGGTTAGCAAAAGCTGTAGGAAAGTATAGTTAGTCTTAATTTCGAAAATATGGATGTTTTGCTCGTTCATTTTCCTGTTGGAACAGTGTAGATTGACCGCGAGGTTCTGGGGCCTATCTGCTTTCGCCCTGAAGGTCTCTTTTGCAGAAAATTACAAATATATTCACAACCCCTTAATTTTATTTCTCACATTGTTTCAGCCAATAGGATTCTACGTCTGAATAGCAAAACATATATGGTAGATCAAAGGGAAAATAATGGGTCTTAATTTTTTCATTATATTGTACATAAAAATAGAAAAAATCTCTGGAAAGCATTTGTGTTTATTTTCATATTACTCATTGATTAATCTGCGTTATCAAATAATTTGGATCATTCTCAGGGAAAATATAAGTTAGCAGGACAACAGCCAGGACATTTATTTTATAAGATGACATATCAATAAAAAAATGATTTTAGATTTTTAAATATAAAGTAAAACCACTATAGCACAAACTAAAACAGCTGTAGCCTACTGCATATGAGCACTAAAGCAAAGGTAGCTGTAGGGGGTATGATCCTCCATTACCCAGGCCAGAGCTTTTAAAGGCTGTTTTTTAACACGTGTATTTTTTTTATTAACCTAAACATAGACTGTAATTATGATAGCTGAATCTTTACATTTTTCTTTTATTTTGGTATTTATAGATTAGTATTCGTATAACAGCACATTGTGCTGTTATACCAAGTTAAAAGGTTGCAGTAAAAAACCTCATTAATCTTGTTCTTAAAGCAAATAGCCTTTAATCAGGTTGTATGTATACAATCTTAATAAAATTGGGAGACATTTTTTGCTTCATGTAGCCTTTTTTTTATCTAAAAGAAAACTGGGGGAGGTTCGGTGATGTGAACCCCTGACTCACAAAATCTGGCTGAAGTTGTGGCAAAAAAAAAACACAAAAAAGGCCAGGAAAGAGGTAGCTGTGATAGGGAATATTTCTAAAAGTTTGTACATGTTTGATGTATTTATTTCCATTAAGGAAGGAAGGGAAATAAGTAAACTAAAATAAAATCATCACTAAATAAAATCCACCCTTTTGGTTTACATACAAGCAAAGATTAGGCCCAAACCCCCTCCCCCTCCATACATCTTGCTGCTAAAGAAGCTAAAAAATTCAGCAATTTGTGTCCTATAAAGGATGACACACTAATGTAATTTGCCTGTGCTTTTTATATATTTGTAAACAAATTTGGTGCTGTTGCCATCAACATTGCTTTAATACTGGCAGTTCAATCTGAAACACTTACACGGAAAGAAAACATAATTAGAAGAGTTTTATCGATACAGTTATTTAAAGTCGCAGGGAAGCGGTTGTTCCAACGGATGTATTTCCGAATTCTCCCGAGTTGTGCCTGATTTTACACAAGTCAATAAAGTGATTGGACGATTATCAAGGGGGCTGGATTGTTGTGGTGGAAGGTTCACAAACAAGTTTGATTATGGCCGGTTTCTTCGAAGCATCTTGCTAACCAGTTACCAAGTTAGTGCTACTGTAGTAGGTTCCCAATGGGAAATTACATTGTGATAAGGTAGCACTAAATTAGTGACTTAAAAACGACACTGTCAAGGAACGCTATGGACAGCTGTTAGGTTTATCAATGTTAGGAAACATGCAAGAGGAGGAGAGTTTAGTGTCAGAGGTCGTGGATGAGTCTCCTCCGTCATACATTTTCTATTTAGAGGAGGAAAGCGGGGACGAAGATGTTGTGGAAGAGGACGCCAGGGCGTCAAACTTGGTTTGATGTAGAAGGCTTCCAGCCGTACATGTTTGAGCCCTTGCCTCGCAACGCTGCCAGTTCTGTTAGCTCTACGCCTGCTGAAGACACAGACGTCCATCCCTGTGAACACTCAATGGGAAAGTAAATGTTTTTTATTTCAGCCGTTGCCTATATTAGCTGCGACATATGAATCAAGATGCTATGACCGAAAACATTTGATCGACAGATGACCGTTGATATGATTGGCCGGATCTAGGTGTTCAGGCTGACGTATAACTAACTGGCCTGCATAAAATAATGAAAAAACCCCACAGATTTTAAGACAGGATTTGTTTTAAAAGCAGAAATGTTCTAAAATTTGGGAAAATATTGTCTGATGAAGAGTACATTTATATACATTTATATAATTTGACATTTAAATATGATTTCCCTACGACTTTAAGTCTTTGGCTCTCAGACTTCAGGAGGAAACATTATCACAGAATTTTCCTTTGAAATGCATAAACAGGGTAGAGTAAATAACAGGTATGTTTCCCCCAAGGCCTAAAGCGTGATGGTGGAGTGGAGAGGATGAGGTTGGCGAGACAGTCCGCTTTAGCTGTATGAAGAAAACTGGTGGGCTACGTGAGCTGATACTAGAGCATCACTCTGGGACCTGGAAGATGGAAGTCCAGCTTGAATAAAACAGGTTTAGTAAAGCTCTCCATGATGAGCAAGCGTGAAGTGACAGTGGAGAGGAAAAAGGCTCAACATGATAGTCTTCTGCCGGACCGGTGGACATCAGACAGGGAACGCAGTAAGAGTCAGAGAGCAATGACACTCTGATGAAGCTTTAGCTACCATGATGGAGGAGGGGATGGAGGATAGTTAAATCTGATAATCTGAATAGAAGTCTGACATAGCATAACCGCTGCCTGCACTTTAGGCACCTTTTATGAGATATTGGAATCCCTTTTAAGACGAACAATAGATGCTGATTGGCCTGTGACCGAGATGAATAGTAATCGTTTCTTCAGTTGAACTTCTGCCTAGGCTCTATTTAGTATGTAATGTAAGTTACGTTCCTGGTGGGACCTATAAATGTAAAGGCACTCCACAGGCGTATCTTTCTCTGGTGTGGACATGCCCCCACCAATAATCTCTGCTTTTTCTTCCCTTTTCCACTCTTTTACTTTAGCCAAAGGTAACAGAGGTTGGGTGTAGCTATCAGAGTGTTTTGAGTGTTTTTTTTTTCTCTCTCACGCTGCTCCCGTGTCTCGCCTATCTGTGTAACATCATGAGATCTGTCGCTTTGAGACACCTGATTTGCGTTCGCATTTCACTGCCTACAAAGTAGCTACATGGCAGGAGGAGAGAAGCACAGCAGCACTCGGTGAATATTAACCAGCAGCTACTTTGATGTTTAAGTAAAAGTTACGAGACGGGTTGGTTAAAAAAATTTAGATCAGGGCGCCGAAAAATCAGTTCGTTAGACATACGGAGTTTTTCAGCTTAAAAGGGCAACAGATTGTACGTTTATACAAGTTAGTTTTATGATGCAAGAATATTGAG